GGGAAGCCAATATGAAAAGGCTACATATTGTACGATTCCAACTATATTACATTCTGGAAAAGGCTACCGAGACAGTAAAAAGATTAGTGGTTGCCAGGGATTAGAGGAGAGGGAGGGATGAATAGGCAAAACATAGAGGATTTTTAGGTCAGTGGAACTATTCTGTATGATATTTACAATGGTGGATACATGTCATTATACATTTGTCAAAACCTATGGAAGGTACATCACCAAGAGTGAACCTTAATGTTAACTATGGACTTTGAGTGATAATGATGTGTCAAAGTTGGTTCATTAATTGACAAACATACCATTCTGATGCTGGATATTGATAGTAGGGGAGGCTTTGCATATGTGGCAGGGAGGGGGTGTATGGGAAATCTCTGTACCTTCTCCTCAATTTTGCTGTAACCCCAAAACAACTCTAAGAAAAGTCTACTTTTTAAAAACGTGAAGGAATTATTAACTCCAGGGAAACAAAAAGTTATACAAAAGAGGAATTGCTGTCATAACTCCTTCTTGGCTCATCCATAAAAATACTTATATCGTCATAAATATTATTATATTGATAGAACCAAATTTTTGAGACAGGTATACAGCACAACTGGGGAGAGAAAGGGAAGTATGTGACATAGGAATACTAATTCACACCTTCCATAGTAGAAATCAGTAGATAATGTTTAAATGATGAATAATGTTAATATGAGTATAATATTTATAAAATGAAAGTAAATACTTAAACAGTTTTAAAATGTGAAAGTGATTGCCTTTCAACAGAGTACTAGGAGATGGAAAAACTGTGGACAAGGAATGCTTTACGGTAATTATAGTATTTAAAACTATCTGTAATTAGTATTCTAGACAAAAAAGAAGTAATATAGCAAGCAAAGAAATAAATATAAGAAGTAATAAAATATAGTACTTGTCATCTAAACAATAAAGCTCAAATGCTCTTTAGAAATAAGAGGTCTGTGTTGTAGGTTGAATTGTGTCATCCCCAAATTCATGTGTTGAAGCCCTAACCCTCCAGTATCTCAAAATGTCCTTTATTTGGAAATAGTGTCATTTCAGATGCGATTATTTAAGATGAGATCATTAGAGTAGGCTCCAGTTCAATCTGACTGGTGTCCTTATAGAAAGGGAAAATTTGGACACAGAGAGGTACAAAAGAAGAATGCCATGTGAAATGAAGGCAGAGCTCACGGTGATGCCTCTAAAAGCTGTTGGTTGGCAACCTGGCCCTCGTACATGGAGGGCAAGGAGTGACTGAAGAAAGGCAGACCACTCCAGATTGGTAGGAGGCGGATTTAACAAGTAAGGGAATTTATGTATGACGCTTGTCTTGGGCAGCCTCAAGATGAAGAGATCTCCACACCTGCCTGCCAGAATCTTCAAAATTTATATAGAGGCTTTAACTGGGTTCAGTTACATATTCAGTCCAGGGGGTCTCAAAAACACCTTGCTCTCTCAAGGCTACATCCTTGAAACAGCTCCTAGTGTGGGAATGGTGGGTGGAACGTACATTCCAAGGACAAGGGAAGGAGTGAGGAGCCTCCAATTGTCCAGGTCCAGTTCACAGATCAACCTGTAGTCATGTCCTTTCAATGACCTCCTCCAACACAAGCCAAGGAATGCCAAAGATTGCCAGTACACCATAAAACACCTGGAGAGAAGAAAGGGACAGATTCTTCCTCACAGCCCTCAGAAGGAACCAACTCTGCCTACACCTTGATCTCAGACTTTCAGCCTCCACAACTATGAGACAATAAGTTTCTGTTGTTAAGCCACCCAATTTGGGGTACTTTGTTTCAGCAACACTAGGAAACTAATATAGTCACGATATTCAAAGAAGAACTACAAACAGCACAGTTGTCTATGAAATCCAGCACAACTCCATGCTAATACCTTTGAAACCTGGGAGGGGGGACTCAATTAAGATACCATCCAATATATTCCCCTGTTATTAATTCCTCTTAAGAAATTAGCATTAGGAAAGAAAAGATTGTCTTTCTTGGGAATATGGTATGTTTCCTTTTTTTAGGTAATGATCACTGTATTCCCATTGTCCGGTGTTTTCCCTTATTACCATCTAATCAGTGCTGGATTGAGTGACCAAACAAGTCACTTACTCATGTCTTTGTTTCCTGGAGCACTAACTACTATCTATGTTTTTTGGCTCTTATTCTTTACCTTTGTTTTAATGGTGTGTGCACTTTGTCATGACAAGCCTCTTTTTTTGGCAGTAGTTAGGATAAATAATTAGTAAATAGGTGAACACTTCTCATCACCACAGCTCTAATGGGCAGCAGACCCAACCTATATCAATGCTTTTCTGAAGTTGCCTCTGCTGTTAGGGTGACCAACTAGCCTGGTGTGCCGGGACAAGGGATTTTGAAGGACAAACAACTTTCATTGCAAGATCTGGGACACTCCCCGGCATAATGGGACAGTGTCCCAGACATAATGGGACAATGACCTATTTGAATGTCTGCTATATCTTACAGCCAACAGCCGTATTCTCACTGCCAGTGCTATAGGCTCTGGTCTCTGAGGTAATAATTTCCCCAACAAACATGCATAATTGTTTACTGATTCGTCTAGTTTTATATGAGAAACAAATCCTGCCTCAACAGATGAGGAGCAATAATGCAAATAACCATGTTTTCAGTATCAGAAAAACCTCCTTACCATTCTTTCAAATGGAAGCTCATGAATTCCTATGAGAGACGGAAGTTTACTGAGACCTTGAGCAATATGCATTATATATCACCAGCTATTTTGGAACCAGACTGTCTTCTTACTGGACTGTCCAAGTCCATTAAATATCACCAGCTATTAGGGAACCAGACTGTGTTCTTACCGGCTGTCCGCACAACTTAGTCTTTTGTGGTCGCCCTTTTGAACGCTCCAGCTTCCTCATAAACCCTGTAACTTATCCAGTTTGCTTTGATAACAAACACATTAAATGATTGAGATTCTGAGAAAGAAACAAATGTTATTGCTTTTTCATGATTGCCCCTGCAAGCCTACCTATGGACCTGGTTCTTCTGCTGCCCCAGGATAAAATACATGGCAGGCCTCCTATTTTTGTGATTACTCTCAGATAATAAAAAGTCATACAAAGTCACTGTAGTTCCAAATATAGTCTCTGTCCAAAATTAATACGGCTGTTGGCAGTATAATACAAAATGCAAAATTCGTTCAAAATTAAACTTCTCCCTTCCTATAAGAAAGGGTTGTATGCTCAGTGTTTAACTTCTTCCATCTTTACTAACCTACCTGCTCCCTAGCTCACAATTACTATCTGAAATTTCAGCTTCCTCCATGCTTGGAGCAAGAAAATGGAGAAGAGATAATGTGGGGGAAAGTTCTTACCTGAATGGGTACTACCAGAATTTAGTGGGTGATGAAATTGATTCTTTCTCAAGACTCTTTTCTGAGTTTTTCAGAGACCTGAATTACTTTAAATATCTCACCTGTAGGTACATGGCTTGGTTGGCCTATCTTCCCTAATTACTCTATTACACTTCCTCCCTTAGACCCTGGGAATATATGGCAGTATAGATTCAGCCATTATCATATCACCTTCTAGTCTTCCTGAAAGCATTGAGAAAAAGCCCATCTTAGCTCTCTCTCATGATGGCCCACATCTGTTCCCAAGGATCATTACCTTAGATCCATCATATATAGCAATGCAGTTTCATTCCAAACATTGCCTACTTTTTTTCGGCCACTGAGCGGGTAGATCCAGCTACAGGCTTTATTTTGAGATTTATCAGGCTTGAGTCAGAAACTAGTCTGCTGTCTCTCCCAGGTACCAAGGGATACTTTGAAGACTTTCTCAATAGCCTGGAGGAGAAGAGAAATTACCCCCATGTCCCTAGGGAGATGATGAGACTCCTAGCACAGCTCTCTCCAAAGGAATCCTCTTTCCAATCTCCAAATTCCCTGGCCACTTCAACTCAAGCCTTTTGTATGTCCACTATGAGTAGGTGGTTCAAGTTCACACAACTTGATTTAAGATATTTTCTGTGTAAGATCTGCCTCATCAATCTAGCACCTCATTTTGGAGTGAGAGAGTTGGCATCTACTATATTGTGGCTCTATCACTAAGACTGAAATAATTCCATTTTCCACCAATGACCCTCCCTGTTAGAAGTCATTTTCCCTCATGACTTGCTGAATAATAGAATGTTTGATGCATTCCTTCTAGCCATTCTCTTCCTGGAAAACATTTCTCCATGTGCTATTGATAGCTCCGCATTTGTGGACGTGATCGCAAGCTTTCTAAGTGCTGACACTCTACCTTTTATTCCATTTATCACTGCACATCACCTGCCATGCTGATCCTCATCTAAAGAGTTATTGATCTACTATCCCCACCCTGCAAGATTTTGCTTTTGATATTTCCAGGCAATATTATGACCAATTTTACAGTAGGAGTTGACAAAGTTGAAAAGACCCTGATTTGCTAAAATAATAGGAAGGGTATGAGGGAAAGGAATATTGTGTTTTATTAATTGCAGTCTTACAAATTTTAGCATTAGCCACAACATTATCTTGAATTTTGCCAAGTTGAAGTATAACTTTAATATTTAAAATGTGCAAAAGGTAAATATTCTGAGGGAGAGGAAAATAGCAAATTTAAAATAAGATGAACTTCACTTAATAAAACAGTGTAAATCACTCCCTTTGTAATATTTACAAGTCCTAAAAGGCAAAGATTCTTCAGTGTTACAATTAATGTAAATCACTTATAATTTTACTAATAAAATATTTTATTTATTTTATTGTAGTCAGGCAAACTTTCATAAGTGGAATCCATAGACATAATTTTCGGGTGGAACTGATATCTTTACTTTAGATGCTTCCTTTCTGCCTGTAAAATACAGTATGGGAAGGAAAAAAAAACCCATATTTCCAATCAAAACAAGTTAGTCCAAATAAGCTAACTAACATTTATAAAGTAATTCTCATCCTTATAAATTGCCTTCTTGCAGGAAACAGACCTTATCCTGACTTTTAATATTTCAATGCACCGATCTTGGTGGATGGAGAATGGACCAGGATGTACGGTGACATCAGTGACACCCGCCCCAGACTGGGCCCCAGAAGACCATCGCTACATCACGGTCTCAGGGTGCTTTCTGGAGTACCAGTACATAGAAGTGGCTCATAGTTCCCTGCAGATTGTCCTCGCAGTAAGTGTTGACAGCCAACCACTCCTTCTAGTGCTTCCGGAATTGCTTTATTTCTGTGCAAACTCAGTGCACGCAAATGGAATCTGCGGGTAAAGTATGGCTATTTGCTTTTTCCTAATTAATGCCACTTTTAGTAAGGATTTGTCAGGCTAAACCAGGCCATGCCCTGGACTGAGTGTGCCGATTTTCTTTGGCAATCAGTAAATAGACTGGCATCTTCAGCATTTTATGTAAGAAATCCAACCAATCTAGGTTTGATTACTTGGCTTTTGGTAGAGTTTTCCAAAGATTCTGGAAGGAAGATCAGAGAGTTTTCACAACTAACCTGTTACAATGCCCAATTTGTAAGATTTCAATAGATATTTTCTCCCTCAACGCTTCTTTCTGGCTGTGCTGCTAGTCCTGGAATTCTCCATTTGCCCTATCTACTTCTTCCTAGATTTCCCTAAGGAACCATCCATCACCTTCTATCGCCTCTCATTTTTTCAAAACAATTCAGCTTTTCTATAAATTCTACTTCTAAACTATCATGCCCCTATTTTGCACAGTATTATGCTGATAAAGATTTCTCCCTCTACCAGGAGTCAGTAAGAGATAAATAACTCCTTTGTGTTTGTGTATTTGTAAAACATATTGTATAATATATGCCTATGTTATATAAAACATATTATTTTACATTGTATCACTATGACAGAGAGATAAATAACACACCTGTTTCTTAAGAAGAACTTTTGCTAAGGCTAAATGCATAATTTTGTGGAATTTATAAAGTTAAGGCAACTTTATTGTGTATGTCTCCATTTATTTATTACAGATCCTATATGTACAGATCTAACTATATTTTTCTTAGACTCCATGTAGATCTGCAATTGATGTGCCTAGTCTTAAAATTAACAAATGATGATGTAGAATCTGCTTTTTACTTCTTTCTTCATTTAATTACTTTGGGAATGATGCTAACTCACAATTATTAAATAACAAAACATAACAGGTTCTGGGTAGAATGGCTCCAATTAGTTCATATAATATTCTTCTGGAATTAAAAAATCTATGCAAGTGTGTGTTTATTAGATTATATAACTAATATATAGTTATCAGATTTGTTTAAATGAGGACTATATATACACACACGCACACACGTTTATGTAAATTGCAGTATGCTAAGTATGCTATGCTAGTAAATACTTCCCAAATCTCTGTAACTAAAAATCACACAAGTTTCTTGTTGGTCAGCAGAAAATTCTACCAATTACTGTCACCACTGTCACAAAGGAAACAAATCTAATGGGGCAGCCACCATCTCAATCATCGTGAGTAGCCATGTCAGAGAGCAAAGATAGATGTGGAGTGTTCCCATTGGCACAAAAATTCTCCTTCTTGGGAGGAGAGGCTCATTGTTCACAGTTCATTGTACAGAACTAGTCACGCAGTCCCACCTAATCACAGAATGGCCAGGAAGGAGGGAGAACTGTAAATATTCAGAGATCAGCACAAACTATTTCCACAATATTTGAATTATGTTCTTAGCTAAAGCACTGAGTGATCTCCCTTGAATACGTGCAAGCTTAATAAACATACGAGCACTTAATAAACCTTTCTATATAGTTTTAAACTCTAAAACCGTTCACTTTGATTATCTTGAAATAAAGATGTTAGATTTGATGGGATGGAAGTAGCCATTTCACTATTTAAAATCTATCTAAATGAAGTACTCATTCTCACATAGGAAAAGTAAAATACCTCTGGGATTTTGGGACAGATAAAATGTCTTCATATAAGTGTCAGAGAGGGGTTTTAGATAAAATATTCCTTTGTTGGAACTCTCCCTTTTTTACTGTACCCACATGTTTTGGAAAACTTCCACTTGTATGTCAAGGATGGTGTAAAGATATAGTTTATGTGCATGGATAGTTATATGAAACTATTTCAGAGAGTTATTTGAATTCATATATGTATGTATAAATTATATTCACAGATTTATTAAACTCCACATAAAATTTTGGCCACAGGTAATTTGCTAAAAAACCATTTGGATATGGAAGCATATGTTGAGGCTGTGATACCGCCCAAAGACAAAATATTTTTACATAAGTAAAAACCATCTGTAAAGACAAAGAGGCTAGAGCGCAAAGAAGATGGATGTAGTGTCCCTAAGAGCAGATGTGACCGATATTTCAAGCTGCTGGCTCTCACTTCTGTCTACATTGTCCCTAATTGTGTGGAAAAATGGTTTGAGCAAACCATCACAGGATGTAGCATCTTTGCCTCTCCCCTTGCCACCTGTTCTTCCTTTCAAGGGGCATTTTTCTTTTGCAATGCCAAGGTGGATCACCTGCGAGTAAGTTAGCAACATCGTGCCCAAGCCAATTACTTGGAGAAGTTTCAACACACTTTCTGTCTTTGGGATGGCTATTGTCTAGCCAGCCTTGAGCTGAAAGCATCTGATGTGCAGAAAACTTAGCAAATCTTAACTAGAGTTTCAGAATGAAAACCAAAATGGGGCTTATTTTGAACAATTTGCTCCGCCTAGTTATTGGAAGCCTTCCAACTATGTTTTCCTACAGTCATTCCGATCTTTTCTGCTGTCATGATTAAGAGATGAAATAGTGTCTTGAATCTCTGCTCCTCCCCTTTTTGTGTTACCCAAATCATCCTCCTAACAATCCAATGTTCAGCTCAGTCCGGTCCAGTGAACACTCCCTGAGTGCTTGTCTCCTGCTGGCTTCTAGAGAAACAAATGACAGGATCCCTGACCTTGAGGATGTCAGAGTCAAAAATGGAGCGAGGGTCCTCAGGGTACAGATCAGGTGCAAACAGGCACATTCCGGGGCTGTGGCAAACAGAGAATACAGTTCGTGCAGTTTATGGCATAATCTTGGCTTCTTAATTCTGTCCTGCTTTTCGTCAAGTCAGCTCAAGTCTCGCTCTTCTCATTTTTACCCGTTTTTGAAGCTGCCCTCTCTTCCAGGATATCTGGCTTAGATCTGCTTTCATAAACTGCTGCTCTCCTGGCTGCTGCTCTTGATTAACTCCAAATCTCTCCAGCTCTTTTCCTCCACCTTCGCTCAGCCTTTCTTTCACAGATTCCTGACCCCCGGCACGCCTGTCAGCCCGTTGTTCGGTTTTCTGCCAATCAACTGCTAGCTGATTTTGAAATTAGCATTCACAAAGCCTACATTTGCATCACACATACATAAGATATCTCCCATCTACAGCCAAAGGAAGACGAGCATAATATCCATGTAATTGGGAAGAGGTGCAATTAATCACACAGCCTCCAGCCGAGCAGAACGGACTGCTAGAACCCCGTAATGATGAGCCAGGTGTGAGATTTCCAGCTTTCTCCCGCTCCAGCAGCATTTTCTTTTAGTTAGTATCAGATATCACATTCAAAAGGAATACAGGTGTGCTCAGTTTTAATAAAAACGAAAACAAAAAAAAAATCCACACTTACAAGATAGATCAAATAAATGTGTGTGGGGAGAGCCACGGAGATCAACCAGAGAGATGGTGGCGTTCACATGACAAAAAAATTAAGCTGATTTCTTCAATGAGGGATTGCAACTGCACAGGTTACTAAATGTGTTCACAGGAATGAAATCTTTTAACTTGTGTAACAGTCCGGTGAGGACAGCAGAACAGGTTAAAAACCTTTCCCAAGATTTCTTAGCTAGTAAATAGAGAGGATGGACCTGATGGTGTAAGTTTTTCTCTGGTACCGAGGATAGGAAATAGGTTTCAACCTGCATACCATCGCCAGCTGATGGGTAACAAATTCCTGAAGCCCCAAAATACAGTTCTTCAGTGGCAAAGAATGCCAGGATTTTGAATTAGCTAGGTTGGCCATGGGTGAGGGGAATGGAGGTGTGTGTGCCTCCTATTTGTTATACACACATTATACCTCACTTCCTGTAACCAACACAATGAAAAGGGAGGATGTTATACAAAGGAATGTAAATAAATGAAGCTTTAAGGGAAAACATTTATTGCAATAACTGAAGTAACTTTATATTTAAAATCTATGTTAAAATTCCAATAATTCATTTAAAAGAAGAAAAACAAATATTTAATCCCTCTTTTCTCTGGCTACCTCCAGCGGACCAATATCTCTAAATTTAACATAAACCTCTCAACCAAAATTGCTGGGTTTTGTTTTACTTTATTTCCTTTACTTCTGACACACTTCTAAGTTTATAGCAGATTGACTATTAATATTTTTAGGAGACCAGCAGAGGATATTGGTAAAAATGTAAATAAGCTTACTATTTTCCACAACTATTAAAATTGGCTTAGACATTGTATACAAATTAGCAGGGAAGTCACAGAAGACTTTAGAAAAGATTCTAATGCCTGGTGCACTGTTCATAGCTAAAAATAGGTTCACAGTCAAGTTCATCCTTGAGTTATATCTATTCCCTAATTCAGAGAACTTTGTACTTTTTAGAGTGCATGGAAATTATTGTTCAACAGATTGGGGTAAAAATTTTTTGAAGATAAAATATATGCCTTCAGATGGATGAAGTCACAGATGTTTCCACTTTTACCCAGTTAATGATACATATTTGCCATTTGGCTTGCTGAGACTTGCCTAGGAACACAATTGGTGAAGACATTTTCCAAACTTTGAATGCCTTTATCCAAGTTGATTTGGGGTTGTGTTGGGAGTGATGCACGAGTATTTCTTTGGATGTTGCTGAAGTGTATGGTGCATGGATGACAGTGAATGGCCTTATTGCTCATGCTGCATTTTGACTCCTCCTTTAATCTGGAAATACTTATTCACAAACAAAGATGCAATTGCCAAAGATTTGGGTCCTGATTTTCAAGTAGCCAGGATATTGCTCTTAAAGTGGTAAATAGTAAATCTAAGTTGTGAACTTGCATTGTTTTAAAGGGATGAGTGGGCAAATGGTATGAGCTGATAACCCTCTACTGCTGTATTCAGAAGTGAAATGGTTGCCATGTGGATATTCTTTGTTACATTTATTTGAATTGAAAAA